GTAGCATGGCAGCTAGGCACCGGGAGGGTTACGGTGAACGAATTTTTTCTGTCGCCAAAGGACTATGGTGGAACTCCCAGACAAACTTTGCTGTCCAAACCATGTCCTGGGTGATGTATTCAGTTTGATGTTACCCAAGAGACTTTCACCGGAAACCCCAATGGACAACAAATCGCGGATAACTGATGGCCGAAAGACTTTTCTGGGCAGCACAAGTGAGGGCGATGAGTACTTTCAAAAGATAGTTGCTTTAACGTAAAGTAAGCAGCACGTTAAGTATGCAATGAAAAATCCCCACAGGTGATTTGGTCCGGTCAGCTTATGGTCTGGAAGTGAACCCTGGTAAACGTCATCACTCAGAATGAGAAATGAGACAGTTCAAAACCAGCAGACAACGGCAGTCATAGCCCGATTATACTCAACAGCGCTAATGCATCCAGGCTATTGCCCCAAGGCCACAGTTGCCCATATGGACGTTGTGATCACTATGGGAATCGTGAGCCACCAAGGACACCTATAGCTCCATGTCACCAGTGCGCAAACCCATGGTGCCTGAAACCAGAGATGCACTGGATCATGCCCGCTCAAAGTCCTTGGGGTCAATCCTACCCGGATGACTACATGGATAGGGTTCTGACATGGTCACCTGGCCATCCAGACATGAGGCTGGAACAAGTGTGCGGGCCATTCGGATAGTCTCAAGCAAATCACCGCCACCTTGCGACCAGGCTTTTCAGTCAAATGTTATGGTTGAGGAGCCTAATCTTCTTCCTGTCTAGGTTTAGGCGCACTAGCCGAACAGTGATCCACATACTAACATGAACTGATCGGGTACATTTGTCAAACACTGATAAATACAGTGCCTGACATCGAATAATAGCCAAACTTATTAACTACGCGACAGCACACCGTGCGATAACACAACTAAGGTATGCTGGAGCGATGAGCCAATCAATCAGGCATCTGAAAGACAATCAGAAAGCAAGACACCAGCTTATTCCACTCATTGGCGGTTTCATTTAAGCGCACCTGAAGAACCTGAGACACTCACATATACAAAAACCTCAGACCGGCTCGACCATTCGTTCAGCTGTAACACCCTTCCGGTGCCCAACCGACATGCCATTCGGAGGAAGTACGAGGGTTGCCCAAGCCTAAACAGGGGAAGTTCAGTGGCAGAAGTCGGGTTCGAACCACGGACCTTCCGGTCAGTAAATTCGCGCTCTACCCACTTGGGCCATCTCTAACTCAGACAGCCCTCTCCCGCGTGCTAAATTCCTTGCCGGAGGCTTAGTCATGCTGACGAAGCGGAAGAATCCAATTGTCAATCATTCCCCATCAATAAAAAAGCGTTTTCCGAGTAGTAAGGCCGGATATTTATGAGTGAAAAATGAAGATATATGAGTAGGGGAAACGACTTTTTTTAATCATTTGGATCGGGCAAGTAAACCAAAAGAAATGCAGGCTGTTGACATGCATCTAACGGTAGTGGCAGTTACAGTAACAATTTGAGCGCGGAATGACACGATAAAGCAACTGTTGCTTCGTTGGGTAGAGTAACCGAGGAATAAAAGCATCGAGACGGCTTGGAATAACCATACATTTACAGGACTATAGAATAGGGACAATCAGATCACCAAGAGTTTTGATGGTGTTCGCCGCCAGTGAAAGAATACCTATCAAGGTTATACTCTCCTTGAAGGTGTCGACCAAATGTACAGGGCTTGTTTCAGCCACCGTAGGCACCGACCAAAGACGCGGTTGGACTAGTCGAAATGGCATTGACCTAAAAAGAGCACCGGGGAATATCAGTTCAGCTCTCTTTAGCCACTTCCACATCCATATCCGAAGAAACGAGTGGCCGGTCGGAAACGTTGAAATCATGGAATCGATACATTACAAGCAACATCGGCAAGAGGGAAATCAGGGACATGCTGATGAACACGAGCGCAGGAGTGTTTATCAAGGTTCCGCCAACATACGGACCGATCAAAAACGCCACATTTAAAACCGTACGGAAGATAGATTGAGCCCGGTCCATATCTGCAACCGGCGCCACTTTAGTATACAATGATTCAGAGTAGGCAAAAGCAAAGGGTAATCCGACCACATGGATGGCGATACCGATGAGTAGCAATGTCACACCAAGAGCTTTATCCATGTTGGGCAGAAAATAAACCACAGTACTTAACCACAGGTAGGACAAAACCATAATGATAAGACCAGATAACAGAAGGACACGGTCCGTGTAAAAACTGTTCAGGATTCGAAGCACGATGACGACAAATATTATAAGCACGCTTGCAGCCAGGTAAACATAGCTGGTTTGAACTTCAGACCAACCGAAAATACGATTGGCTACCGGAGGTAAAACGGCCTCTAGGCCCATGAAGCAGAAATAGGTGGCAAATGTGACCGCATACAACGAAAGAATGGGGTACGTACAGTAGGTTTTGAGGGAGACACCGCGAATCTGCACCCCGGGACGATTGGGTGTGATGTCCTGTTTCTCGATAAGCATCGGTTGCAGATCTTCAGAAGACCCCGTGTGGTCAAACCAATATCGGGGGTCACATAGAGCCCGACAGCCTGAGGTTCCTTCGGTGACGACTAATCGTCCATTCTTATCCACATTTGGATACGATACTATGATAACCAAGGAATGGATAATCCAGAGAATGGCCATCAGGAGGCCAGGACCGTTGTACACACTCACAGTAATATTTGCCACGTGATAATCCATCTTGTCCATCATTAGCGTGAAGGAGGGTCCAAAGATTAGGCCAATTTGACGGGTTAGGAGCAAAATGATTATATAAGTAGTACGCTCATCACGGTGGGTTGCTCGGACAATATCAGCGTATAGAGGCGGTTCGCAGCTCGCTCCGATTCCAGAGATCAACCTTCCAATCAGTACAGCCATTGGTGATCCAGCAAACAGATAGATGGTATTCCCAATAATCTCTAATAGATTTGCTAAGAGAAGCAACGTTTTAACTCGAATCCCAGCGTAGGAAGCCCAGCCATACACAGGAGTCATGACGAGAATTGATAAGCTAAACGCAGCCATCGTTACTCCGTAATACATAGTCGCTGCCTCCAGGCCCCAGTATCCTTTCAGATAAAGCCACAGAGTGGGGAGTATTACTGCCCTTTCCACGCTTGACAGGAATCCCCATGTAGAGGCAGTGAAGCACATCCAGACCTTGTGCGACCACATGGCCTGTCGACAGCTTATACAACAGCGGCGAATTAGTGATTTCCCGTTACTCGTTGGTATGTTTGATGTAATTGCCTCAGGGATGCTTGAAATAGATACATCAGATACCTGGCGTTGATGTCGAGGCTTTGCTTCTAGCTGCTCTTGTGCGGGACAGGAGCGGGCATCAGCGACAGTCATAACCGACCGCACGCATAGGAGTGGTGCGGATGGAACTCGCGCCCGTACCCTAGCTGCAACGCTTGCACGTGCGATGAACGTCGGGCTGACACACACGAGCTTGTGACTGACATGCCGTCAATAAGGAGGCTGGAGCGACTATGGTCAATGGGCCAATCACATGTTGGCAATTAGGGAGCCAATCGATGGGTTGTGGCTAGAACCGACCTTGTTCAGTGGATGGCTGCTGTCCTCTGATTGGTTCACTCCTTTGGCATGGCTTGCTTCTATCTCCACCCTATGCCACCAAGACAGGCAGCGGTGACCCTGGCGCTGGACGCGACCCAGTTTCCTGGCTCTCGTCTGCTTTTGCCCAAGTTCGTGTGGCGCGCGCCGTTGGCAAATCTCTCCGCTTTGCTGTTGCGCCTGAATCAGGAGCTTGGTTAAGGCAAGGTCGACATCGCAGGTCCCAATTCGACATCTGTAGGATTTTCGACTGGTCGCGAAAGTGGGATCAATTCGTTCCCACCATAATATGGTTTAACACTAGAATTCAGGAAAAAAAGTGCAGCGATATCAGACCAACCATTCAGGAAAAAAAGTGCAGCGATATCCAGACCAACCAAACTTATTCTAAATGAAGCTGAATAACTCGGACGAATTATGTGCATAGTTTCACCAAATCCCTCAAACGGCTGAGTAACCCCGCACTCAAACCTAGTCACCCAAACATACTGGATTTTTGGAGATGCGTAAAAACACCGAGAACGTCATTTTTTCGTACCGTTATTATTCTTTTTTGTGTGATATAAAAACCCAAAGGTTTGCAATGTAAGCAACGCTAACTCGGCCACATTCCATGTGGATCTTCAGAATTGATCAAGGCTATCACGATAGAGCACTGAGTGAATCTAAAATGAATCGTTTGGTTTTGACGGCCCCCAGTTCCTGTCAAACTGTCCTTTGTGGCACAAAACGCGGGCTTAATCGTGGTGGTAACGACAATGGATTTGATCATAAGATGTCACTTTCAGACAGCGCAGTTGACTGCTCCAATAAAACTGTCCCGTTGATGACTATCAAACAGTGAAAGTATGGGGGGTACTTGCAAAATTATTCCATTTTTTTCGATATAAGGAAGATGACCGGATAGCACACATTCAAGGGCGTGAGCTACCTGTCAGCAGTCAAACGGAAATCAGGTAATCAACTCCGTAGTTGGCTGTCAAAAGTTCGGGCAATCGCACTCAAGCATGTCTACCAAGATTATATTGTATGACAAGTAAACGCACGCGTCCATCAGCAGAAGCCTGAGGAGAATTAAGTGTATTCAAACGACCATTCCAAGAGCTTCATGTATCACAATAGGATGTGCGCACGTGCAACTAACTTCGGCTCAAACATACTCGTCATAGTTGGTCCCTCATGTCCGGTAGTCGGTGACTTGCCGAAACGGGTCACATCTGCAAATCGGATAACCGCCGTGACGACCGTTCACTAAACTGGCTTCTGCATGAAGAACATAACAGGGAGCTGGCTAAACAATGGCTGGGTTAGGGTGAATAGGCTGCAGTCAGCAGTTAGAAGACCAGCCTATCATCGTTAGGCTGGTTTGGTGGCCTTCACTTCCTGTCGCCAAGCCTCCAGGTGGGAATGGCGTGGTTTGACGATGAAACCGTTTCACGCAACACACTAGGCATTCAGCTGTTAGAGGTAAAACTTGCGATCTGTAAAACTGTTAGACACAATTGGGAAGAGCCGCCAACCCTGAAAATTCTGAAGACTGATTAGTTCGCTCGATAAGTTACAGCGGAATACTCTTGAGCGGAATCGGTTAGCGACTGTCAACGAAAAGATTGTAGTATTGTCAAAAAGGTGATCGAACCACGAACGATTTCACCTCGTGCCTCTGAAGGTATTCTCGTAGATCATGTGCGTCTCAATCTGAAAATCGCTTGAGAATCACACTACTCAACACCAGACACCTCCAAGCCTCATGTTACCACAAAACTTTAAGCCTTGAATAAAGCTATGTTGCCAACAGACCCCAGTTACGCATATTCCCACACACAAAAAAAAATAACTCCGTTTTCAGACAGGTTGCTAGGTATGGTCTGTCTTCAAAGTAAGTGCAAATAAAATAGCTATAACATTGATTGTCAAGTGTTTAGCTGCCATGCCATCCGATGAAACCACGAGGGCCGCGATTGTATCAGGTTGTCTAAGCCTACACGGGAGCAATGGAGATGCCGGGGTCGGGCTCGAACTACTAACCTTCCACTCATTCACCACCGAGCTATCTTGAGTTCAGTAAGCGCCAGTCGATCATTTCGATAATAAAAGTGCAAGTACCAGACAACAAGACATCAACAAATTAGTTTGATGTTATCCATTTTCGAGCACTAATTGGCGTCCGTCTATTTTTGGACTACATTCGACTACAAGGGATATGTTAGTCCGTTGTGTGTTAAGACAGATTTGTCAGGAAGTTTGTACTCGATATTTTCTCGCAGTTGATGCCCCTGACTTGAAGAAGGATAGCCGATAGAACATGTTAGACGAGAGAGAACTGAGAGTAGAGTGGGACCATGGGTTAACGCACAGCACACACGAGTTCATTTTTTAGACTGGACATTAATTTCACTGGTGGAAAATCGATGTTTAGTTTCTATTTCAAAAGATTGTTGCTTGATACGGTATGAAACAGAAATATAAATAATATATGATATGAATATTATATATATATGTAAACAGCTCGTGAATATCATTGTTTTTATCACAGGAATGGGAGCAGATTCACCTAATGTTTTATTCATTTCGTTTATAATCCTGTTTAAGGGGTTTCCCAAGCCCGTCGAACATCTGGTTTCATACATCACCGTCGTTCAGGGGTGATGAATTATGTTTGCTGACTGTAAAGTGCTTTGTACAAGTGACTTATGGATACGCTAGCAACAATTCGCTCTTGCAACTGGGTGATCGAGAATTTTCTCACCAACTGAGATTTTCTACTGTCAGTGAAGTCCATCTACACTGAAAAGCTGAGAAGTACTGCACAGCTGTTTCATCCTCGGTGGGAATCCTCATTACTGCGCGTCTCACGAAACTCCGGAGAGTCTCTAACCCGCGACCTCCTGGCCCAAATAACCGTTTGGCCGTGCTGGCAGTGTGGTTGGCCCTCATTTAGACGGCATATAGCACCATTTGTCCTTCAGAGGCGGAAATCGCACTAATTAGTTACGTGTTGACTGGCTCCTCGAGTGAACAAGTTTCACACATCCATCAAAATTATCCTTTTTCTGAGCTGGTTACTGGCTCATGGTAATGTGAGATTGTCGCTGGTTTGAAATCCTGATTTTCCTAAGATGAAACGGCTGTACAGTATTTCTTGGCTTTTCAGCAGAGAGTGCCTTCAGTGACAGGTTGCAATCTCCATTGAATATCATTTTCTATCATGATCTCTCTCTCTCTCTCTGTGAGACAAGGATTCACTTACTGACGCAATATCTTAACTTCAGTGTTCTTAGTATTCACCGATTTACCTTCACTTTTCTATCGAACGCGAATGGTATTCCTTATTGATTTTAATTCGCCAATGTTTGATCCGATTATCGTGTTTTTTTTCCAACTCATTCATCCTATGGACTGCGACCACGTGACATGGCGTGTCGAACACGTGAGATTCCGTTCATTCATTTGCTCCGTAAAGTGGCTGCAGTAATTGCTGAGCTACGATTGAAAGACACTTTGAAACCTGAGTTTTTGTATTTTGAAAGTGAACCTTTGAACTCTTGAAATTTCCTTCAATAAAGATAGTACATCGCTGACGTCTAAATCGACTGTTGGTTGCGTCAGCGGCAGCTACTCAAAGGGTGTTCTGCCGGCTTGCACCTAAACTGAAGCACAGCAAGCGGTGTGATTGCTTAGTTTATATAACTCAAATTAGTTGGAGTTAGTTGGATTTTGTTTCTTTTTGAGGTCTTCGTGTTCACTACATGGATTTCCCAACTCCAGCACAATATATCCCATTGTTGTTTACGAGGTCTGCAACCGACTTTCTGAAAAATCGAGAACATCACTCTTTGTGACACGTAATGAGCTTGTGAATGCAAGGATTTTTTCACCTGATTGGTATTCGATTTTGAAAAAATTGACTACTTGGTGTTCTAACTTTCGTACGCAAAAGGATATAGCTCATACAATGAAATTCTGGAGGAAATTGGATCGAACAGTGGGGTGCCGGTTGTAAATTTTCCGATAAACATCATCATCATCATCATCATCATCATCATCATCATCATTATCATTATCATCATCATCATCAT